CCTAAGGTGATGTTTAAATGAATGATATTGATAACCGTAAATTTTTATAGCCAATTTTGCCTCAGAATCGACAGAAATCGGGCGCCATTTCTTCTTGTCTTCATATACCGTACACCACGCCCGATCTAAAATCGCGATCGCTGAAGTCGTTTAGAGTGATCCGTGAAAATCATTACCATTATCTTGATCAAAAGTGAATAATATAATATATGATTTTTATTTTAAAAAAAATATATGAAAGGAAAGTTAAGAATATAAATGAAGCATTAAATATTTATATATTTCCTAAATGAAATAAAATATTAATTATGAACATATTTCATGGCCTACTTGAATACTTTTATCCACACTGGTTTGTACCTACCAAAAAGAATTTTATATCGAAAATAGAAAATCATTATTGAAAATATGAAAATATTTGTATAGATGATGTGTACTGTTACATAAAAACATTGAGATTTAACCTGTTGATAGAGATTACTGTAACAGTGAAAATACTAATTGATTGGGTGTTTTAAATGAATTTAACTAGGCAATTAATAATTAATACAGTTCCTTTTTTAAAATTCCAATCATTTATAATATAAAATTAAGTTAAATAAATTAATGAATAAAGTGATTTAAGTTGTTAATTTATTTAATTTCAAAGGTATTTGTTTTGGTTTCTTTTTCTTCCAATTGTTTATTTATATTTGAAATTCAGTATTCATGCATTCATTATTATTTTCCAGTCACTTGTTGTAATTTTTTTTTTGGTTCTGTTTTATTTGGGGGAGGTTTTTTTTTTATCAATTTTTTTTTTTGTTCATGTAATAGAACAAATTATACTCATTGATATTAGAAAGCAATATGTATCCATTAGAATGAAATTATTAGAATCCAGGTCCAGGAAATAAAAAAGTTACATAAAAAATGAATCAAATGTGCATAATTGCATATGCAAACACTTGTAAAGTGGGTATTATGAGAATATGGTGAGAATATTATTTACACATCAGCTAGCTGTGTTGTTATGTACTGGGATAGAGAGGCACCCCTGTGTGTGTACATGCAATATATACACAGCTGTTGACACTTGGTCAAGTTGACAATAAACTTCTTTTGATCAAACACCTGTTCTCAGCTAGTCTGACCAACCCCCCTATGGCAGGGCATGTGTATATATACACTGAACCTTGACTATGCTCAATTGTTCTTGACTTTCATTATCAAATTGTAAAATAAATGATTTTGTAATATAATCTTTTTTTAAAAAATAATGTTGATATGAAATGGTAATATGCTTTAAATACAAATTTTCAGTTTAAGGACGTTAGCACACACATAAGGAAAATAAGGAAAATATGAATTTGATAATTTTGATACTAATATTAATAATGATAAATTAATAAAGACCTTTTAAATTAGTAATACCTGGAAAATATTCATAGTTTCCTTATATTCCCAGCTCTAGCCACGTGGAGGCCTCCTTAATTGTAGAGCCATGATTTGAATTTTGAAACAGCTAGAAAAATATTAAAGTCAAAGGACCGAAAGATGACCGAAAGATTAAAAGAAAATTAAAAAAAATTAAAAAAGACTTATTTTATTAAAGATACTTTATCATTATTCCTAGTCAATCTTTTGTTCATGTATAAACATATTATTACAGCCAAATGAAAGAAATTGACATAAAATTAAATAACATTATAAAAAAAATTCATAGAAAGGAATTTATAATTTAATTAGCAACATTAAAAAAAAATATGTTCCTAACCTAACCTAATCTAACACAACACCAAACAGTATTCACTGGTCTGCACCCGTCTGGCGGGGGAAGAATACTGCCTGATACTAACCCTACTCTAGAATAAATAATAAATATACAATTTTAAAAACATTTTTGGGTTTTAATGGTTTAAGACTGGTTTAAAAGTGTTTCTGCAAGTGGGAGAAAACGATATAAATTCATCTTCTCTGTCAGATATAGTGTTAGGAATCGAAAACATTATTGAAAAACTGTTAAGAAATGATTCGGTGCAGAAAATATTTATTGGAAGTCTGTTTAGGCAAATGATTTGTGGAACCATGGATCCAGGAAAGTACAATTCTATTGTTTTTGACAAAAATAACACACTACGAAGGAAATATGGGAATTCTCAGAATGTGATATTTTGGAGACGTAGGGGTTTAATGAATTCAAATAAAAACATTTGGCGTGAAGATGGGATTAGTTTGAACAGAGAAGCAATGGAAATTTTAAGTCGACAGATTCAACTGGCAATGAAATGTAAAATTACATAAAATACCTATGCTTTGAGATGATAAAAGATTTTCAGTTCACTTAACCAGACTGAGATTTTTTCGTAGTTAAAATTCAATCAAAAATTCCATTATATTTTATTTTGTGGTGTGGTTTTTTTACTTTACTTTTTTTTAAATTCATATTTGTTTTAATTTAAAGACAATTCAAAATGTAAACATTAACTGATGTAAAATATTTAAAACATCTGATTTTTTTTCTAAGAAAAGAACATAAAAAGGTTACTTTGAAATAAAATATCTATATATTTGAAAATTGATATATTCTTTTAATTTACTATTTCTTTCCAGGTTTCAGTAGTTTCATATTTTGACATTGATTTACTTTTTGTTCTCTTTTAACATATAAGTAATTATTATTTTCATTTTTAAAATTTAATTATTATTATTATTGCTTTGAACCTTTGAATTTCATATTTTTATATTAATTTTCTAAATTCATAATTTGTCTAAAATCTCAAAAATAAATTCAGTATTTTCATATTTTGAAATTTATTTATTTTTTTGTTCTCTTTGAAACATATAAGTAATTATTAATTAATTATCATTGCTTTTTATTATTATTATTATTGTTGCTTTGAAGCTTTTGGATATAATCATATCTCTAAATTATGAATTTCTCTAAAATCTCAAAAATAAAAAAAAAAATCTTAAATTATCTTAATGGCTAACGTTCTTAATTTTAAAAAAATATATTTATTACATAATATTTGATATATATCTTGCATAACAAACATATTAAAATTAAAATGAATAATTTTAACTTTATCTTTACGATGATAAACAGCAGCTATTCGAAATTAGATCGGGCGTGGTGTACGGTAAACCAGTAATGGCGCCCGATTTCTGTCGACTCTGAGGTAAAATTGGCTATAAAAATTTACAGATATCGATATCATTCATTTAAACATCACCGTAGGGTTTTATGCACCCCATTTCATTCAATTTTACGGGGCTTCTACCACTTTATTGGGGCTTCTACCCTTCTGTATGGGCAAAAAACGGGGGGTTGGCTGGTCCTTACTGTAAACTGGACAGTTCATAAGCCTGATATCTGACCGAGGCCGAACTGCGATATTAATATTTATCAACTTCACGCACTGGTGCGTTTCACCTGTTGTAAACCGGAACCAGATGTAAATTGACGGATAAACACTGCAGGTGTGAACTGGGGTCAGATGAAAGACGGTAATCTAATTATATAATCCGGGAATCAATAATCCCTCGTTAAGACACGTGGACCACCGGCACAGGAGTTCAAGATTGAAAGGTTACCGCATTTAACGTGTCAATTTGTCAGATATTATGACCAAACATGCAAGATAAGAATGTAAGTTGAACACGGCCCAATATAAGATGACCTAGAGGGACATTTTGTGTATATGTAATTTGTTGAATCAATTCAGGCCATACTAATACTAGTTGTTAACACTGATTAACCTTTCAACAGTTCAGAGTGCGTTGTCACATTGTGGGGAACTCAACACTTTTATTTAACTATGTGAGAAAAAGACACAAACGGTTAGAATCAACAATTGTTGAGAGCGTTTGTCTCGAGTCTCTATTGCTTTAACAGCTGTTTAATGGCTATTTGTAATTGTTCGCTGCATAAAATACACTCAGTTTTTTCAGTTTTTTGATGGGAATCTAAACTTTTGATTTAGGTTATTGATACGACGTGTATCTCAAAGCAGACGAGGAAATACTGGTTCCGGTATGAGTGTCTGTCTAGCAATGTCTAGGATAACTCAAGCATTTCTAATTCTTTTCAAACTTAAGGAGGCTGGAGGCAGCAAGTTGACCATTATAAATAATTTAATTTTTTAGATATGATATCTTAAGCTGTCAACTATCATTGGAAAAGAAAAATTTCAAAAATTTTAGTTTTTAACATTTTTGTATATCTTTTATGGAGCTCTTCATCTAAAGGAGATCAATATAGTCTGAAAATGACCAAGCAACCCTCTTAAGCAGTTTTGTACGTTGTTGACCTTGACCTGAGGGCGTGTCATGATACTCATTTAAAGTCATATGCTAAAGGCTAGGGTTGAGCATTGGGCAAATTTATGTTCTGGTTATACATCTTAAATACAGGATTGGATTGTTTTCAAATGTAAATATGTGTTTCTTATGATCTACAGGTCTGACATGACTGTGAACAAAGTCACACCAAAAAAGGTTACGGTCACTTGGCCATTACTTTTAAATCATATCCGGGTTAAAATATTCAGTTGAAGGAATTCAAAGATGTTTAAGGACGTTGTTACTGATGTCCTTAAAATTTATCAGGATCTTGGCTTAATACAAGGTCATGGCAGTGGGAATAAGATCTGATTTAAACCAAATACTCAAGTTTGAATCTAATCAAATAAAGTGTCTTTGATTGTTTGAAAGTGTTAATAATTTATGGTAAGAGGTTTTATGTTTCCTTTCGCTACCATTCTTTACCAAATACACTGTATTCTTATTATCATATAAAAACGCGTATAATGATGTTAAGGATAAACCTTGACTAAATATAAAGGATTTTTCAAAAAGAAATCGAAAACATTTTGCTCATTAGAATCACAAGATCATTAATTATGCCGACTAAAAATATACAAAATTGCAGGGTATACACTTAATCTGCAGTAAGAGTAACGTAGAACTGGTGATCGAGGCTATTAATACCCGGTAGTCACAAAGAAAAAAAAGGCACACATGTTCTCTCTTTTAATGAATAAATATAGCTGACGCTGAACGTCGTTCAAAGCTGAAGTGCCACTCATTTTTGTCTTCTGTATTTTCTAATATTCTTTTTTCTATTTTCCTGTTTCCTTATATTTTTTTAAAATTAATCTTAAGACAGATAGAAAACAAAAACAACAATATAAATATACAAAAAATACAAGTTTTAAAAAAAAAAAATAAATACCAGAGCTGTCAATAGAAAATTAACTTCAAAGTCCGGGCCGAGTTTTGTTTTATCGCAGACACGGAGCATACAAATGTCAGTGTCGCAACATTCCAGAGCTGATTTACTGCAGGACTGCTGTCAAGGGGTAACCAAATGGATGGACAGTTATGGCGAACCGATAAAAAAAATCAAACACGGTCCCACAAATGTTTCTGGTACGAATCTTCTTGTCTTTCAAGTACTAATCATTGCAAGTCATTGTTTGGAAGACAGTATGTACAAATGTTTTGTAGACTCTGATATCATCCTAATTAGGTCGTGGGAGGTTCCATGCAGTGAACTTCATCCCATCTGGAAAAATGATATAAAATTATACATGATCATACCATAACATTAAACCAGTTTATTTCGTTTTGTGCCTTTCCAAAAACAATGTGTATGAATTGCAATTATATCCACAAATACGAAAACCTGCTATTGAAAACACGAAAAAAAAAAATTACAGGTACATATATATACTCTTCATATAAAATTAAATTTTAGAATCTAACAAATCTAAATAAACAAGTTAGAACGAACATGCGTTTGATAAGCAAATTCAATATTAAGTAATTTATCCTCTGTTTGAACTAGTATTTTAATCCTAATGGTATAATGTTATTCTCCTATATTTACTTTAACCTCAAATTTACAAATTCTCTACCGCACTCAAAATGACATTATGGAGTTGCATCCATATTCCTTGATATTGAACAGTTGTCAACGTACCCGTTGCATTAAGTTTCCAAGCACAGGTCGTCGATCAACATACACCGGAAACGACCCAGGGGTAGAAAGTTGTGGAAATATGACACCAGCGCCCTCTCTTGACGTCCTGAATCTGTCAGGCTGAAAAGGAAGATACGCTACGAAACGCATGCCAACTTCCGGTACATCAATTCCTACGTTTGGATATGGAATATAAAGAGGCAAATATGGGTACATCATTTCACGGTTATCTCTGTTAAAGGGAATGAGTAAGTTAAATGGTTGTCCAGAAAGTTGAAACGGAACATAGGCAGGGTTGCTCCGGAAATTTTTAATATAGATTGGCATAGTGCCTCTCGGAAGGTCCGCTAGCCGTTGAGGAATAGGATACATTCCACCTCCCGTTGAATTTGAAAATATCTGAAGGTTAGGACTTGTGCGGTCTAAAAGACCCTTAAGGTAAGAAAACCAAGAATCCTCCCCTAAATCCGGAAACTGTAAGGGAGCAAAACCGGGAAAGGCCGGTGCTAAGGTCACCGCGGCCGAAGCATTTTGTTGTGTCTGAGGAACATTTAGTCCATTAATACTGTTTGAATTCGGTCTGTTTTCTGCTCTGAAATTAATATTAAGTCTATTTCCTGCAGATTCACCAGCACCATTAAGTAATGGTGCTTGTCTTATTTCAGGTCCAACGTTTGTATTCACTCTGTTGCTTAAAGGATCCTCTCCATTCAGTAAATGTATTGGTCTAAGTTCTGAACCAATTGGCGGCCGCGAATCTGGATTTGCGTTCCAATTATTTGAGACTGGATTATTTTGTAAAACATTGCTTCCCAAGGAGGAGCCGCTGTTAACTGGAGGCAACACTGAATTTGTTTGTCCTTGACTGAATGCCTGACCGTTTGTATTCAGCCCGTTGTTGTTCCTCAAGGGATTGTCCCCAGCCATCGTTTCTCTAAACATATCCGTCATCACAGATTCCGCAACGGCTCCAAAATCCAAATTTCCTACATCCACTGAAACGCTTGGCTCGGTCACAAGACCTTGACCTTGTGAGTTAACGCTGCCGAAGTTTAGATTTGACACTGACCCAGACAAAAGGGTTGAAGTTGTTGGCATCGCTGGTGCAAATGAGTTTGCAGCATTTGGGAAGAGAATTTGTCGACGGGAGGGTAACGGTTGAGGAATAAAGTTCATTTGTCTGTTGGGTGGAATTGGTCTAACAAATGGTGTCCTTGAAAATCGGACAGGGCCAGGACCCATCGGAAACGGCCGAGGTCTTCCGAACCTTATCTGGTTTGCTCCAATATTCTGTGTAAATCCACAATGAATGCACAGAGCAAAGGTTGCAAGCCAAAATAAGTCCATTTTCTGCAAAAGAGAATGCATTTCAATATAAAGGAAATAAATGTAGGTAAAAAGTTTCCGAAACTCTCAAGAGACTCATTAATGTCTGCAGATGTTGCAGTGAGTATAATGAAGCAAAGGTCATTTGCAAGTCTTACCTTACTGGGAACCTATAGCGAATCTGAAAAGAACCGGCCTCCTTTGACATGCAGTTTATAGTGGGGCATCTAGGGGGTTTTGTGATGAAATGCGCACGTGTTACCTGCAATTTCTGTCACTTTTAAGGTCCACCTCATTTGACAAGCCACATATAGGCCTAATGTCTCCGACAGTGGCGCTTTATTTATGATTTTTGTCTTAAATATTGATAGGTAAATATGATTAATATGCCATGAGTGCATGATGGCGTTGACAAATCAGCTTGTATGCAATAAGTATTCAATATATCGAGACTATAAAAAACGGCTAAAGACAAAGCGCTCTTGTTGGAGCAAAGTGTGCAAGTGAAGATAAAGAGGCGCGGTGGATTTTTGTTGCCTGAAAATCGTGTCGTTCTATCATTAGTGATTTAAGGAAAATAATTAAGAGATATAAAAAAGGAATAATCTTAGCACTTATGTTGACTAAGAGGAAATAATATACTTTCTGCATCCTGATGATTTGGAAGGAAGCAATAAGGCATTTTTTTTAGGAAGTCCTTCATAGATAAGAATATCTTTGATATAAAATATGCATTAATATCATAACATACACTCATTTACTGAAATTGGTTTTAAGAACTTAGCTTTTCTATTTTTAAAATATAACTTTTCACATAGCACTCTCGGCCCCTCGGCTCTCTTTCAGGGAAGTAGGGGATATTAATTTCGGCCTGTCTGTCCGTCCGTCTGTCTTTCTGTCTGTCACACTTTCGTTTCGCAAGATATACCAGGTAGGTCCCAAGCGTTTAAAATGAAATTTTACATAACGACTCCCTATGGCCTATAGGAGACCGCTACATTGATCTTGAGGTTAAAGGTCAACGTGATTAATTCTGTTGGTATATACACTTTCAAAAGAGGGTTTTTTTTTAATAAATAATAGTTTTGAACATATGAAATGTACAAGTTTTAGCGTCATAGGTTTTTGCCAAAAAATGCTCTTAAAAATATCTTTTGGATGAATGCTTTTCAATAGGTGTGATGAAGAAGGATATGGAAATAACGAACAGTATTCAATCTCAACGTCCTTTAAACAAATATACAAAATAAGAGCAGAGCAAACACGGACCTCCGAAACATCAGAGGTGGGATCAGGTGCCATGGAGGAGTGAGCATCACCCGCCGTGTGCTCGTTGTCATAATCAGGAAATAACGGAAAAAATCCGTGGTCAATTCAGTGTATAAATAATGGACTAACAATTGGTATGAAAAACGTCAGTCAGCATTTCATTCAATGATAAATTGTATTTGCTGACAAGGTCATTGTATCGACCATAGAATTTACGAAATGATGACTTTAAACGAGACTGTTGATATTCTTGTTTCATCAACTTGCTTGTCAATAATTTACCTCGTTTAAGAAATTGTTCATACGTAGAGCATGCTCTTGCGTATCGAATCAACTGAGATATAAATACTCCGTATGCAGGTGATGAAGGTATATTGCTGCATAAGTAAGGGAAGTTGACGATAGAAAAGTTAAAGTCATCACGTTTATCATATAGCTTGGTTGTTAGATTACCATTAGTGTCTTTTTCAAGTAAAATATCCAAGTATGAAGCAGAAGTGTCGGACTCTGTGGTATCTTTTATCTCAAGCTCACCAGGATATATCGTGTCGACGTAGGAATGGAAATTATCATTATTAATTGACAATACGTCGTCGATATATCTAAATGTCGAGTTGAAGGCCACAGCAAGTGTTTTCTTCTTTTCACGCAAAAGATTTTGCATAAATTCTGCTTCATATGAATATAAAAATAAGTCTGCTAATAACGGAGCGCAATTTGTACCCATGGGAATTCCAATAGATTGTTGGAATACCTGGTCTCCAAAAACCACATAGATATTGTCAATCAGAAACTCAAGCATCTTCTTGATGTCAACTTCAGAGTACTTATGTGTGCAATCAGAATCTGTTTTAACAAAATAATTTTTCAAATGACCAATGACGAGGTAAGTAAACTTACGAGTTCCATTTTTGTTGAAGAAGCAGCTGTCAATGATATCAAAAAGCCTGGATTTTAATTTGTCGTGGGGAATTGTTGTGTATAAAGTTGAAAAGTCGTAAGTTTTTATGCTGTTGATTTTTGTTAAGTCTTGTGATTTCAAATTGTCCAAAAGTTCTTTAGAATTTGGATCCACATCTGATTTACACCACTTCTTGAATATATAGTTGTACAGTACTCTTGAAGTTTTTCCTTCACTTCTGTCAATATTTTAGTGAGAAGTAACGAAAGAGGCTTGGTTGAACATTTACTGGAACCTGCAATGTATCTTTGTAAGGATTCTTATGAAGTTTCGGAATCCAATATATATAAGGTAGTTCAAATTCATTTTGGCTCTGTGGAATATTAAAAGTATTCAAAACTGACAGCTGATTTTGAAGAATTTCTTCCTTAGAAAGAGAAGTATATGTATAAGTAGGATTACCACTTGTAGAATTAAATCCAAGTTCTTCTAGAATGCAATTCATATAATGAATGTTGTTACCTGCTTTGTCGGCAGGAACAAGTACGTACTGAACGTGTAATCTATCTAATTCCTTTTTCACTTCTGGTTTATTGAACACAGAAGGATAGATGGTTTTCATTTTGCCCCTCAATCTTTTAATACGTGACTTTAACATGGATCTGATACATTTAATCCATTCTGACAAGGTGTCAATATCTTCTTTTTCATATCTAGCCCATCGTCTGGCGTAATTTTCAACAGAATCCATAATATTTATGAAATTCCGTCGCCAGTTGAAGGATCGGGGTTTCCTATATTTAGGACCTTTTAAAATAAGTGATCTAAGGTTCTCATTACGAACTATTTTAACGTCACCTGTAATAATGTGTCCAGCAGGACTATAGTTATAGGGCGAAGAAGAACATGAACACGAAGGGGGATTATTTTTCAGATAGTCGATATCCAGGCCATGTAAAGTGTTTTTGTAATTGAAAAGTTTGGAAGCAATGGTCGATGTATATTTGTAGGAAATACAAGGCGTAGTCTTTAACTTGAAATATGGTGTGATGCAAATAATTGTTAAGTTAAAAAAGTATAAAAATGTACAATGCATATTTTCTTTATTGAATAATTATTCAATCAAACAATGCCAAGGACAGTAACTCATGTATTCAGACATTTTCTTAATAGTATATATTGTGTAAAATGCTCTCCATGATTTTCACAATTCTTGTATTTTATAAAGGAGCAATTACTGTGGAACATCAGAGTCATTTTAATCAACTCAAACTTTATAATGTTTACTAAAATGAACAATTTTTAATGCTAACAAACACTTCTATTAATATTTTCTCTTACTTCTAAAAAATATGACAACCTATACATTTGTTGCTATTTTTTAATTAATATTAAGTATACATATGTATTCAGTGAAAAAAATGCAGTTTTGGCTCACCTGAGATGAAAGCTTTAGTGAGCTTTTCTGATCACCAAAGAACTATATGCGGTATTAACCAACATTTGCCCCCCAAAATCAAACTTTGATGGAGTAATATTTAATTAAGTCCTTAAACAGGGGCGTATATGCTGACTTCAAAGCACTGAATAATTTCATAAGTAATGACGTCATATGTACGTAATGACGTCACAAATATGACGTAAATTTCAGTTTTTTATGAATTTTGCAGAAAAATGTACATATTTCTCGATATTTTAAATAAAAGTCACCGAGCGCATGTGTGTTCAGGATTAATATTTTGATATAATGTGTAGAATGATAATATCAATGAAATATGTCAATATTGTTCCTGAACACACATGCGCTCTATAAATTCTAAAGCTTAAATTGTTGAAATTTTGTCCATTTTGTCCTCTTTTGAAAAAGGATATAAAAATAGTTTGTGACGTCATAAAAACAGAAATTGTGAATACACTGCTCTGGAACTATAATATTTTCTGTTAACTTATATTTCTCGTACAATTTATTGAATTCAGCACATTTCAGGAAGTTTTCAAAATTTGACTTTTGTGGGGGCAAACTTATGCAATATACCGCATATAGTTCTTTCCGTCTGTCTGTCCGTCGGTAAACTTTTCACATTTTCAACTTCTTCTTAAGAACCACTAGGTCAATTTAAACCAAACTTGGCATAAATCATACTTGGTAAAGGAACGTTTGAATTAATAAAATGTAGGACCAAGCCCCCTTCCAAGGGATATAACCAATAAAAGACGAAAATAGGGAGGGGTCATTAACAAATCTTCTTCTCCAGAACCACTAGACCAGGAAAGCTGAAACTTAGGTGAAAGCATCCTAGGGAAGTGTAGATTCTTATTAATTTTTCAAATCATGACCGCAGAGGTAGGGCACAATAGAGAATCCAAGTTTTATATTGAGATAAATAGGAATTTTTTTCTCAAGAACCACTGTTCCAGGAAAGCTGAAACTTAAGTGGAAGCATCCTGGGGTAGTGTAGAGTCTAAATTGTTCAAGTCATGCCACACGGGAGTAGAGCGGGGACCACAATAGGGAATCAAAATCTGACATTGAAATATATGGGAACAATTTTTTAAAAATCTTCTTCTTAAGAGCCCCTGGACCAGGAAAGCTGAAACTTATGAGGAAGCATCCTGAGGAAGTGTAGGTTCTTATTTTGTTCAAATCATGGCCCCTGGAGGTAGGGCGGGGCTACAGTAGGGAATCCAAGTTTTACATTAAAATAAACAGGAAAAATCTTTTAAAATTCTTTTCAAAAAACATTGTACCATTAAAGCTGAAACTTAAGTGGATGCATAGTGTGGGAATGTAGATTCTACATTGTCCAAGTCAGGCCCCACACGGGTAGGGCGGGACCACCTAGGGAATCCAAGTTTTACATTGAAATATAAAGGAAAATCTTTAAAAACTTTTCTTCTCAAGAACCATTGGGCCAGAAAACATCCTGGGGTAGTGTAGATTCTTAATTTTTAAATCATGACCCCCCCCCAATGCATATTTATTTGGGTCACATAAGGTAACACAAAGGGGGGATGCGGAAGAACAGCATGGTCAAAGTTACTCAGGTGAGCGCTGTGGCCCATGGGCCTTTTGTTATGAACCATTGACATGCGAAGATGGAATAACCTTAATAGAAAAATTAATATAGGCATTTTTTATTTACTTATGACGAGACTTCAGCGATAGTTGGAAACGTGGGATAATTTATACAAAACGGACTTCAAAATTGAAATAATGGAAAACTGAGTGATTTTTTTTATTACATTCAATAATCAAAATATTTTAGCCTTATATCTTAATGGACTTTCGGGAATTTCAGAGGTGGGATCAGGTGCCTGGGTGAAGTAAGGATCCCCTTTTGTTTCGGTTTAAAAATTGATCGTACTCAGAGCGTGAGTATTGAATAAGTTCAGAAACATTAACACCAAATACAGAAGATAACGATGTAATGCATATGGTGAACCGATCACACAAAATCGAACACAGTCCCACAAATGGAAAAGC